GAATTTGCTAGTCTGGGTTGCTGTTAAGGAACTTAAACTAAGTTACCATAATGGGTATATATAGTAAATAATAGGGTTTCCCCAATATAGTGACTTAATTTAAGTTCCTTAACAGCAACCCAGTAGTTTCCAGAACTTGGGAGAGCTCAAGATGGACCTCAGTTCATTATACTCCTCACTATAGGCTAGTTTTGAGAAGCCGTCATTTGGGCAAAGCAACCCTAAACCCTAAAAACGGGATATGCCAGCCCCACATCCCCTCGTAATCTCTCCAGGGCCCCCTCATTGGGCTGAGGGTTTAGAGCCCGAAATTCAAGGAAGTTCCACCTGAAATGCATGCCGGAACCTCAATCTTCCATATCGGAATTACTCAGAACCAAAGGGATCCGGATCTAGGCTATAGGTTTGAGGGTTGCTTGCAGTTTAGGATTGGGGGTTTAGGGAAACAGAACGCTCAACCCCAAATATTACCTTAGAGGCAAAATAACCACAGTTCTGAACCCTAAATCCTAAACCCTCAGTTAGTACCCCGTAGACCTAGAACCCACAACATCCCACAACCAGCCTTCTTAGGGGGAGTGGAGTACTGGGTTTCCAATGGAGCTAGACTGCAAGGATCATTCTTTGCTCTCCTTAAGTTTCAAGCTCAAAGATCCTAACATGCGCCCCTCCTAATGTTAATGGACACAATCCACTGACCCAAAAAACTCCAATCCTGGACAGGTGGTAGCTGTAGCAACGGCAGCCCTAAATCCTAAGCCCGAAGCTCTAAACCCTAAACCTTACGTCAGCCCTCCCTTTAAGGGATCTAGAAGGCTAAGGAGGCCCGGGGATTCTGATTAGTTCTGCAACTCTTACTAGGGTTTACTTATTGGTTCTTACTAGGGAATAAGGGGGTATAATCCCTATAGAATCCCTGTAAAATTCCTACATGTACTATCCTCTAAACCCTACACTCCCTCAAGGGAGTATATTCGGGGACTACTATAGGGGCGATTAGGGGGGGATACTAGGAATTTGCACTGGAGCTAATATGGTAGATTCCCTTATTCCCTTCTAAGAACCAGTAAGTTTTAGGGTTTAGGTTTACCACTATCCCTAGAACCTTAACCCAAAGCCGTTCTAATAGGCCTGCTGTTGACTGATACTGTTGCTTGGGTATTGCCCCATTGTAACAGCTGGATATAATGTTTATAATATAGTTCTATATAGCCCTTAAGATGACCCCAATACAGACTGTTACAGGGTGGGGGCAGTACCCAAACTGTTGCTGGCAGGTTCGGCGATCAAGCGAAGCCTTGCTGAAGCAAGCCTCACAGCGTGCTGCCCAG